TTTACACTGGTGCGATTTTTTTTAGATCTACGTGAGGCCTTTGATGTAGTAAATCATGACTTGTTAATAGCCAAACTACACTTGTATGGTTGCTCTTCTTTAACACTACTTTGGTTCCGCAGAAGCTATCTATCAGACCGCTGTCAAACCTCGTAAGCGCAGTATCTGGTGTTCCGCAGGGCCCAATTTTAGGCCCTGTCCTCTTCCTTCTTTTTGTTAACGACCTCCCTCTATCATGGAAGAATAGAAATGGCTTCTTTGTTGATGATGCTACTTTTTTCGCTAGCGTCACAACTCTGACCGATGTTCAGGTACAACTTCAATAGGATCAGTCTCTAATACGGCGACATCAGTGGACTAAACGGATCATGGTATGATAGCTCACCCGGAAAAGACAAAACACGTGATTATTGGTACTCGACAGAACCTGTCCCGCTGTGAAGAATGTGCACTGTCTTTGTGGCTGGATAGTCGGCAACTGGAGCAAACTCACGAGGAACGTCTTTTGGGCCTGGATATCGACCCCTTCCTCTCTTGGTCACCCCATGTAGCTAATCTCAGGAAAAAACTTTTACAGCGTGTTGCTGTTCTGCCTCGCATTAAAAAATTTTTGCCAGTCAAATATCGTATAATTCTATTTAATGCTAGTATTAAAGCTATTCTTGAGTATTGTGTGTCTGTCTGGGGAAGTTGTAATGCAGGACTATTGGATGATATTTTTAAAGTTCAAAAACGATGTACGCGTATTATTCTTGATGCTCCTTTTCAAGGTAGAACTCTGCCGCTATTTCTTGAATTTGGATAGCGACCCGTCAGTCATATATGTAGACAAAGGCGGCTATGTCTGTTTAAAAAAATCCTGGATGGACGTGCACCGGAATACCTGACCCAGAAATTGTCATCATTGAAATACAACAAGTCGTATGATACAAGGTCCCGGTTGCCTTATCGCCTTCCTATTCCACGTACCAATAGCATGAAGCGCATGTTCTTTTATAATGCTGTTACATTGTGGAATGATGTTACCAACGATAAAAACTTTGTCTGCTTTTCAAGTGCAAAAAATTTCAAAAGACGACACTCTGATTTAATAATGTACAAATTTACGCCTGACAGCTTCAAAATTGACAGAGTTTTTTAGTTAACTTGATATTTAATTAATATTAACAAAGATTTAGTAATACATAGACAGGTAAAAACGAGCGATATAATATCCCGACGTTTCGAGATATTTAATAATTTAATATTATGGTATTTAAGTTCCCTTTAATTATTATTTTCGCACTTAAATAGTTTAGTATTTGAATATTAGTATTCAAGTAATTAAGTTTTCTAGTATCTTAGCAGTGTAGTATCTTAATATTTTAGTATTTAAGTGTCTTAGAAAATCAGTATTTTAGTTAGTTGTTTATGATTTAATAAGGGCCATAAGTGAGAGTACAGTTTCTTTTTACTGTAATTATTTACCCCAAATAAAGTTTAAAGTTTAAAGTTCTCCTGTAATTGTTAAATTTTTTAGAGTGATAGGAGAAAAGAGAACACAAGCACTGGTAGGACCATAACGAGCTGAACTGCAGTCATGTTTTCTCCTGTTCCTCAAACGACTATGAAAGCTGTTGTTATCTATTTCCTTCGTTAAAAAGAAGAAAAAGAAAAGGTTGCACTGGCCGGGAATCGAACCCGGGCCTCCCGCGTGGCAGGCGAGAATTCTACCACTGAACCACCAGTGCGACCACGTCTAGACATATAAATATTTAAATATATATATCGGCGGATAAATCTTGCCATCTGAGACAGAAGAGGAAAAGGGAGGAGACCCTGAGGACGAAGTTGACTGACAGGAACTTGAGTACGGTGGGACTACGAACATCATGACCAATGGAAAGGCCGTCGAATGGTTATCTCCAGTACATCAAGGTCATTGGATGTCAAATATTAATCAATTGTTGGCGCCACTGGGTTTAATTTCGCAGCAACAATACCTAAATCACTTCATTTTTGTTTCCCTTCGTACGTTTCTCTGAGATTGTAAACAAGAAAACTTGCGGTAGCGAGCAGAATTTCACAACAATCCCATATCTGCAGAAGAAAAGCAACAGGAAATCATCAACACTGGAGATAAGTAACTAAAACAAAACAGATTTAATTACAAACCTGGATCCTTGATAACAACCAGCAGAAGCTCCTTGCAAACATAGTTTCCTGGAAAAATCTGCCAGCAGTAGTCACTGGTAAGTGAGAAAATATAAGAAGTTTGTTCTAGATGTCTTTACTAAAATATTTTTGTAATTTTTCGTGAAGATTTCAGTATGAAAGATGCTTGGGTATTGAGCTGTCATGAATCAGATTTCAAAATTACCATCTTAATGCCTCCCAAATTTTTTCCTGCCGACTTCTTGTGGAAACTTAGTCGTTCTTAGGTAGATTCACAGACAATGATCTCACCGTGATGGATGGATTATCAATCACTTGGCATTTTATTGAGGAAATCTATAATGAGCTCTATTTAGATTATTAAGATGTTTATTTTGGGTGGTGCAGTTCCACAGGGTTCTGGAGCGTAACGCTTGTTTCATTTCGCACTGGAATACTGTCTAGTCAACAATAGGAATACTTTAACATAAGATAAACTTAGAGCCATAGTAAGGTAACGTCCTAATATCTTGTATCCTGTGTAGTTTTTCGGTTATGGTTCACTGTTGAGTTTCCGCATATCCAAAATGGCGCATATCCAAATCGCCACAGAAGCGAATCCGGAAAGTTCAGGCTTTATGGAAATGATCTCCATTCTTCTAGCCGCGCAATTTTACAAACATAAAATGAGCTCATAACGTTAAGTGCTGTTTTGGTTTGATATTTATGAACCTCTTTTGCAATCAATTACTTCTGTTTCTTTCTGTTTCTGTTGGTCTTTGGATTAAGGAGTGACCTTTGTGTCTGGTAGAACTGCGTGACACTAGTAACTGTCTCTTGTCACAACTCTCCTTGCACGGAAATATGCGGATTTTAAACAATCCACTAGTTGTCAGATCATCAGTAGGAAATTCTGTATCTAAGTACAATGGTCAACACCAATAGCTCAGCAACCGTTTCCTCTTCAGACAAGTATCAGATTTTCTATCGTACATGGAATGTCCCTCATGTCTGATTCAACTGCGTCACCCGTCAATGTCGCTCAACCTTTATGAACGCAAATATGCTACAATCGTTTCCGCAGAACTTAGCTTTCTTAAATCGTTTAGGGAAGGCTCGTTAAGAGAGAAGACTAGAATCACATTCCAAATAGACCGGAAGGCTCGAATGCAACATACTTCAATATCCAAAATACCTTTTTTTAGTCTGCCGATATACATTGGGGATGGGAGAGTGAAAAAAGGAAAGGTAATCAGAGAAGACTCTTTATAGAGAAAAGAAGGTTTGTAACTGGTGTTCATTCGCCCTTCTTACCAAGGACAAATTGATTTCTTTCTAAGGAGGGGACGGATGCACAAAGCCTTTACAAAAACAGGCTTTTTAAAAGTCCACCTGTCACCAGGAATCTTTTTTATTCTTCCTAACTGATGTCAAAAAAATTCGAGTGGCAAAAAACTTATCAACTTGAGTTTAAAAATTGGCTCGAAAGCTGAAGCCCTCCTCGTTTGATTGATGGATACTTACGCCCTCGGGAGAGAGATCAAACTGTGCAAAGGCAATCTTCAATTCGAGAAAAAAAAATTTTCCACGTTTTCGGTCCCAATCTTCCGATTGCCCAACAGAATTTTAAATCTAAAGAGTTTGCAAACTGCAAACTCCTCAATCATCCGTCGAAAAATCTACGAGGAACGTGAGGACAATATAGATTCTTTTATTTTGATAACGTCACTATAAGCACAATATCTGAAAAGGCTTTTTTTTTTGCTTTTCAGAATATTCCCCGATGTTGAAAATATTCCTTGATACGATACGTTTATTAGAAAAATTCAAATGCTCCGTTTTACCAACAAGAGAGGTCTATAAAGAATAAAACGATTCTTCTTTCCGTAAATTACATGTAACAGGTTTTTTAACGGGCGATCACATACATTTACCTTTGATATTTTAATTTTAATGCGCGGTAACATGCTGTGACATTTTCTTCCGATTTTTGTCAATATAAAAGAAATTGCGCAAACAAATAAAGATCTTTTGCGGGCATTTTCTTCATGTTAATGAAATTTCCATTTTGAAATGTACACAAAACTAGGTGTTCTTTCATAGTCTGCTTATGCAAATTCACGACACTAGGTAATTTAAACCCGCTTTTCATGCAAATCATTGAGAAGTGGAAGTCGAATGTCGTTTGTCTATTATCGAAGCCTTGAGCAGAAGGTAACGATTTGAGTGTACTGGCCTAAAAAACGATGTTACGAAAACATCCGCGATAAACTGATTTGGTGTAATTTCAAGGCCATCCCGCAAGAGATAGACTGTTGTTGATATTGTTTACACCTTCAAAATTTTCGACCTATTGATAGGTTCGAGGAAATTTATTTTGGCCCAGAGACACGGTGTAAAGAATAAATTAAAGCCTGTCGTTGAAGTCGCTTGGTCGACGAAACTGAGGTAAGTACTTGGAAATCTCACTGTTACTTGACTCCGCAATTAGTTCATCAGTTGCCTCAGACAGTAATCGAGCACATGGAGTAGCATTCGGTCAAAGTTAAAATATCTTGTTCGATTACATTCAGGCGTCCTTGAATTGTCAGACAGAACGTATAAATGTAAATCCGTGTGTGGTGCTCCACTTCTCGAATCCTTCTCGCTCGGTGATCATGGACGTGTGATCTCGCATTCTCGATGAAACTTGGAGTTGTTCGTCGATTTCGAAATTTTTTGTGCTTCAATTTTGTTTCTTTTGCGAAGGAACCGTAAAAAAGCTGACCTGCTGACCTTTTTTCTTTGGCTTATATTCTTCCTTACAAAACACAAAAATTACTGTTTGCTTTTTTTCTGCTGCCGTTTCTTTTGGAAGATTAATTTGCAAAACACAATCTTTTATCGAAATTCTGGTATTTTATCTTTTGTCTTTAAACCTCCAGTAGAGCCTTTTCAAACAGGCTTGGGTGGTCAAAGGTAAATAAATGTATGTAATGTGTTAGACCTACAAATCATGTGCAAGGCTGGGTTAAAAGGAAATTGTAATTTGAGACGACAGCCTTTGGATTAGCATAAGCTTTCATAGAAGAAATAACTGGAGTAGGGCCAAACTTCCCTTTTCCTTTGCAGCCTGAAGTTTTAGTGTGCTACTGTTAAGGATCTAAGGTTTATACTTTACAGGTCGTTATTCTGTCAGTGACACGCAAAGTTAATTCAAATTATTGTGTTCTGTTGATGTTAAACAATTCATGACCTCGGGGAAATTAAGTCCCTTTGGATTGACGCTCCTCCAAGTTCAGCCTTCTACAAATAATTTCTATGTATATTATATTGACAAACAGCTACCCATCAATGTACGGAGATCATTATTTCATCCACCACAGTTGTAAAGAAGACTAAGGAATTTCTTGGCCATACTGTAATGCATGGGAACTTCTTGTATTGAGGTCAAGCGAATTATTGTTTGTGTGAGTGGTTTGTTATATTCCAATGCCAGTCATTTTTTCTGGGTAATGTAAACGTACACACTCACGTTTGTCTGTAACATTTGATAATCATGTGAACTGCAGGCTGAATCGGTTTGTTCATTTTATCATGTACGGTTTAGACTAACTTCCAACTGTTTCTGGAATGAGGCGGTCACGGTTCAGTTGGTCATCAATGTGCTAACATAAGGAAAAACAATGCCAATTGCAGATGACTTTTTTTTAGGGCTGTGTTCAATATCAAAGAGATTTTCCGGTCCCTTAGAGACACTTAACTGTAACACTCCGTACAGAGGGACAAGTATAGATTATTAAGGCTTGTAACCAGTATATTTGTAAAGCTAAAAATGAAAAAGTTATTGCACATGCAACCCATAAGAACAACTTCCACATGAAGAACATGAAAAGTTCAAATCCAAAATTCGATGGAGATAAATTTGCATAAAATGAATGAGAGTTTGTGTATTTCACTAATATTGAGTCACTAAAAGTATTTTTTAGCCTAAACCCACCAACAAAGTATAGAAGATTATTCTTGACCCCGCAGTCAATTTATGGCCACTGTCCTGACTTAAAATGTACGGACTGATTTTGAAATTTCTTAAACTTCTAATTTCTAGTTTCCCGGATGCTCGTTACATTTAACTTGAATGTGAATAAAAACAAAAATTAAAAGTAAAAAAAGTAATGTCGCGACCGATCGAACACTGTCTCCTGAAGTCGAATTATTTTTCGTTCCAAAAAATTTTAAAACTATAAGTAGTTTTTATTTTGTCTGACCTAGGCTGCACGCGTCCTCCTTGCGTTTTGTTTGCCTATTTTCTTCCTGTTTTCATTTTTTGTATCGTCTTTGTTTTCTTAAAGATGGTAATTACGGGGATACATGATGTAACATAAATCTTCTCTCCTCCAGATCATAAAAATTCTTCTAAATATGGCTGACGACATTGAGGAGATAAAGTTCCATATCGTCAAGAATTCTGATAAATCCAACGGCGTTGAGAACTGGGTTGAGAAAGCGGACTTCAGCACTTTCAGAGGGGATATCATAGTATGCTGTGGCGGATATGAAGGAAGATTCGAACTGGATGCAGTGGAAGCATTTTGTGTAAACACTAACACCTGGGCTGATCTGCCTCCCATGCCAGTCGAATGCGACAGTTTAGCTGCAGGGGCTTATGGGAGCGCTGTGTTCGTGGCTGGAGGATCTGACAGGTGAATTCACAGTAATGTTGTTTTTTGACTATGATTTCGTGAGTTTTTTTAACAGGGTTTTACATTTCCAGTGGTAGGAAACTGACCTTAGCTCAGCCAAGAGGTTTGGCAAATCTTTATGTCTTTTATCCAGAAAATCTTTTCTAGAGACCTAAATGGTCCTTGGCCGTATTTATAAAGGCCCCCACAATCGATTTGTGTAACCTTTGATTTACACCACAGGTAAAGATATTTGAGGTTGATCAGACGTCCATCCACACATGTAATTAGCGATAAGTCCCTTTTTGTGAAACATAGCTTTACAAGTAAATTATACCATGGTACACAAACAGATTGTTAACGTTTGGGCTTTCTGTTGTGGTAGAACATAAAATAAAGTCTCTGGTTGGAATATAACGAATGTGCCGAGCTGGCCACAAGTTGTACAACCAAGACAAAATATTTACTATAATCGAAAACAGGAGTTTTCCTTTGTTCACATTATAAACATTTTAGAACAAACACGATATCTAAAGTTTTTTGAGAAGTGTCTTTTGTTTGTCTATTACAGGAAAAAGCCTCTTGATAATGCGTCAATGTTTGATTGGCAAGAACGGGCTTGGAGGAAACTTGCCCCGATGGTCACAGCTCGTGCATACTCCTGTGGAACAATGGATAAATCGCGAGCTCGTCTGCTAGTAGCAGGGGGGTTTAATAACAGAGAGCTGGACTCGGTGGAAATTTTTGATGTGAAGACTGAAAGATGGCTGAAAGCATCTGCTATGCCAACAGCTCGAACAAAATCTGGGGGAGCTATTGTAGGAGATTACTTTGCTGTGGTCAGTTGAATATTTTTCTACCTTTAAAGTGAACTCGTTACGATATTTATTGTGTCCATAACAAGCGATTGGAACTCATCGGCCAACATTTCTTTTTATGTTAGAGTTGCGTTCACCACCTTAATTGTTTTTAACGAGAGTATATTACAAACTTTTATGTGTTAATGCATTAGGTCGGTAAGGTCTTTGATTAGTTTGTTAGGTGATCTTTACCACCAAGGGATATGAATGAGTCTGAGCAAACCCAAACCACCGACTCAAAATCAGCCCTGGAAGAAATCGAACAAGTTGCTTGAAGGGTAAGGTAGGGAGACGTGATAAACTAGCATTCGACTCTTTGACGAATGTAGTAATACTCCATCGATCAAGCTTAGTCTGGTACCCCTCTGGATCGTCAAAAGAAGAGAAAAATTAGTTGTCATGTGATCCTATGACCTAATAATGTGTCAGTCACTGTATTTTCAGGTGGGTGGGGACGAATTTGGTCGTCCAACCGATACAATCCAATGTTTCAACTTGAAAGCGGAGAAGTGGGAAACATTTCCCGCCATGAGCACGAAACGTCGACGCTGCGCAGTCGTAGCCGTGGGTGAGAAGCTTGTTGTAGCGGGAGGTCTGACGCTTGGTGACTACTCATTGGATACCATCGAAATGTTTGATCTGCGCAACCGAAAATGGTTTGATCTTCCTAACATGCCTTGCACGCGATTCGGCTGTGGTGCATGCGTAATCAATTCACAGATGTTTCTCTGCGGTGGAAATGAGAAGTTGAGAATGAAAGCGTATTCAAACCGGCTTGACTCGTTTGACCTGATGACGCACACCTGGGAAATCCTTCCAAGTATGGCACACCGTAGGATCCATCCTGTTACAGCATCCGTCTGTGTCTAAACAGCAGGTCCAGACAACAGCAAAGACAGACTACATGAAACAATTTTCACGTCTGATGATGTGTCCAGGATGTTTAAAGGTCCTCTACACTGGAGGAGAACATTGCTCTTTTTAATTGACTTTTCTTGATATTTTTAATTCACTTTTCGTTTAAATTCTTTTATTTTTAGAAGACTAAATCGGTAGAACGTGTCTTAGAAATGCGACGTTGTTTAATTTTTTTTTATCAAAGTTCGTTTCTACTGAGTGAATGTTCAAAACACCCAAAGATAAGAGATCGAGGTGATGGGTGTAGTTGCAAGAAGTAAAAGATTGATCCCAGGAAAAAAAGCTTGATGCAATCATGATGTTTCTTTTTTTCTTCTTCTTTTTCTCTTTTTTTTTTTTTTTTAATCTTTTTCTTTCTTTAATCGAAAAGAAATGCCAGCTACTTAACTTACATTTCGCTTGAGCATCTTGCATAGGAATAAACTTCACTTATCAATCCCTTTACTTTTTCCGCCGCCCGGCTGCAATAGTATCATTGTAATGTTGTCAGTGCTAATACCATCCTCTTAAGCTGAGTGCAAAATGAAGAGCAAGCGCTTAAATTGGGCGCGAGTAGCTTTCCTTAGAGGACTCTTCACGCTCCTACCCTTTGATTGCCACCAACAGACGTATGGTAGAAGTGATAGAAATGTGGGATTTTGAGTCGCTCCACCTCTATCCCGGACATAAGAACTCTGTCTAATAGTTCCCAGTCCTCCCCTCCCCATCCAGTAAACTCGCGTATGTTCATTCCTCCAACGTGATCAAAGTCAGACTTGTACATTGCCAGCAAGCCAAATCCAAGTGTCTCCCAGTAACCAAATGGAAGCTCGGGATGATAACCGCAACGAAGTCTCTTCACCACTGGTGCGAACGCCATTTTCCCTTCCACGCAATGCTAAGGAATAAAGTAATACTGATGTCAAGCGAGAAATAAAAGTTTAGTTCTAAAATCTTGTTAATTACCTTTGGGCAGTCTCTAAAACGGATGTACCTTACGGATGGTGGAAATCAGATGGGAAGGGATCTTTAAGTGAAGATCACACATGAATAGTATGCTGTGAGGATCCTTTAAAGCCTCAGCTCCACGCTGAAGGGCCAAGGCCCTCTGGAAGTCCTGGTCCCTAGGTATCTTCACCAGCGTGTACCACTGAATAGAGCTCCTGTTTAGCACGGCTTGTATATCGATGTCCTTACTTTCATAGTCAACGATAATAACGTGTATTTTGAAGTCCCGAGTTTGACGAATTACCTCTGTAAACAATAATAACAGAGGGATTTGTCTTCAATGAATATATCATTCCTGTACCGCCCATGTGTTTAACCATGCTAACGATTAGATGTTCTGGGACTGAATGAGTTCAAACAAGAGAGAATTAATAACAAGCTTTACCTCTTTTATGACAGGATTTAAGAAAATTCAATATATATGTACCAGAGCGGATTATGGAAAAAGGCGTTACAGACTCAGGATATAAAAGAGCAAGATATCCAGTGCGCGGTACAGTCCTCCCTTTCCAATCTGTACTTGACTCTTTTTAATCCCTTTGTTATTCACTTTTCGTACTGCATTTAACGAGAATTGGAACGTGTAAGCCTGCTCAAATTTGTTAGCACCTCCGACATCATAAATAAACACGTAGTAGTAGTAGTAGTAGAAGTAGAAACTTTATTAAAGTGTCAAAAGAACCGTCTAGCCAGGGAACGAATCCCTTACTAATTTGGGGACACCAGTAGTCCAGGATTCTTAGCATTTTAGGAAGACTGCATTCCATCTTTCCCACAATTCTCTCTTTTCATTTATATGAGTCAGAAAGGAATAGTGAAGGTAACCAACGACATTGTTCGCCAGACGTTTTTAAAAATGTGGGGGTATAGCCTGACTCTCAAGTTACCTGCGATATTCTTTATAAAATAGAGTGCCCAGCGCCCAGATTTTCTCACAGGTACAATAATATTCACAACAGCATTTTTGTTCCAGCGGAATCCTTCAGGATAACACAAACTGTCTTCTTCAAGGGGCTTGTACACGTATTCTGAGAACAGCACGCTCCCTCCAGTTTGTTTTTCAGTTAAGCGTAATTCCAGGAGGAAGCGATCGCCTTTCTGAGGGTCGGGTACGTGCTCAACTGAAACTATTTCCTGGAGTGCGTAATGCCTGTGAGAAAATGATGTTACGCAATGTTGACTGACAAAAATTTAGCTAATGTTTGTTCTAGAAACCTTTTTGGTTGTTAATGAGCGGCCGCTTTGGTAAACGTTGATTTAACAGACATCGAACTTTGATGTTTTCTTCGTGTTTGATAATTGGCTGTCGAGCCTTTAGATACTGCATTCACCCAACAAAAAATTTGAAATAAAACCTAAATAACCAATCATCTTGCTATTTAATCCACTGAAAGGCGGCGCAGGAAAGTTTAAACACATTTCCATCACAATTTTTCTTTGTAATCTCAAACCCTTAGATGTAATCAGCTTTTTGAATTTAATGAGCTTGTACCCATCCACTGCAACTTACTGAGGATATCTTACTTCTAAAGCGTCTATGAACGTATGAACCACACCCTGAGCCATGTTCGGATTTGTCAGAAGATTTCCAGCTGCATTTTCCTGCCACCAGATATCTTCATTTTTCATTAATGCGAGAGAATCATTGGTGGTATCTGGAGGATAAACTGAGGCAAAATGTGTGTTACTTTTGTTTCGAGCACCCTGTAAGGAAGACAAAGCAAGAACACACCTTTAATTAAAGAACCAAATTTGTCTAGAATCTGACTGGAACTTTGTATCGCGCCTCTATGCATACTTTTCGAGAAAGGGGTTATCTCGAAAATTTTTCTATAGCAGTAAAGCTTGATAGAAAAGATGACATAGATCTCGTTAACTTGTTCCCTTGGACAAGAACTGACATGGCGGACAGCCAGACAGGCAACGTTTGCTGAACCCTATGAGTGGACAAGGACATGTCAGACCTTCATTATGTTGCGGGTGATTTGTTGTTTAGCACTCACCTGGAATCGAATCAGTTTATGCTGGACCAAATAACTCGGTTCGTACTAACACTCAGGCAATGCACCCTCCATGTCGTCCAAGACAACGAAAGGTAGAATTGAGTCACCTGATTCTTGTGGCTCTTCTTTGTAATCAGCCAATCCAACAGTGTTATCAGGCACGTGACTGTCATTCATGGCAGCTCGTAGATATTCACCGGTCACAACAACGAATACCGCTTCACCTGCTAATCTCCAAGTCACCTCCAGATGGAGTTTGCCAGACTGATGTTTGTGAAGCACGTTGATAAGATATTTCACATTTTTTGTCAAGGAAAAAGCTGTAGAAACTTGAGTCGCAGTTGTGGAATAATTTCCAGGTTGTCCTCGACCAGGATTTTCACGAGAACCGAGAAAAGCAATTTTCCGAAGATTTGCCGATGAATCGTCGGAGCTCAGCCACAGTTCCGAATTTCCACTCGAAGAAATGGCAAAGTAATACTCGCCGCTTGCAGATGGTGAAATGAAGCCGAACATTCGTTCCCCCAAATTTTTTAAGTATTCACCGTAGGAAGAAGCAGAAGTCAACAACATGCGTTTCGACGGAGCATGTGGGAATAAGATAAATTCACGCAAACTTTCCACTTGAAAGTGACACACATTATCCCAAATATGGAGATTCAAAAATCCTCGCAATGAGAACGTTGTATCTTCATCTTGGCTCGGTTGGTTTTCTTTGCGGAATGGAGGAAGGTCACTTGAAGAATATTTGCTATTAATGGCTACCAAATCACTTTTTCCGTGTGGTAGCAAACCGGTTGAACTGCCAATGTTCTTCATAGCATCACTGAAAGTCTCCTTTTCCTTAATAAAGATTCCTTGCTGGTAGCTTCGAGCGGTGAGTAAATCCTTTCCTCGTGTCGGCCCAAAAAATGTCTTTGTTGTTGACCCTTGAGAAAAGCGATTGACATCATCAATAAAAATGAAAGATTTCCTCGGCTCTTGAATGGCAATGTAGAAACAAATTGTAAATGAAAAAAAGAAGAATAAAGCTAAAAGAATTTGCATTCTTTTCCGTTTGACATTATTGTAGCACAAACGCAGAATTTTCACGCTCATCTTTGTCGACTCGTGTTTTAGTTGTTTAGTTTCCAGCGAGTTCGGATCTTTTTTTTGGAATTAATAATGGCGACCTGCACAGCGGAAAAACTCATTTGAATACGGTCCATACATTCTTCTCAGAGAAAAGTTTTCTCTTAGCAACTAAAGCAGCATTGTGCTATATTCCGTCTAAATTAAAGATTTAATAAGGGGTTTTTTCTTTTTTAAAAATCAACCCTTCATTAGTGCGCAAAAAAAAAACAAAAAAAGAAAGAAAAACATCATTAAAGAAACAAGTAAATCACTCGTCACTAATGTAGGACAAATTCAACTTTGCCAAATGTAGAGAATTCCCGCTGTTTAAATCAACAGCAACTGAAAGTGAACAAAGCCGAGAAGAACTTTTATGTAAACAGTAAGATTTGTAACTCACAAAGAGTTCCCAGAGGTCATTCATTCAACAAAGTATCAAGGTTCAAAATTGATGGAGGTTCTACTGGCTTACTTTGAAAAGCTTAAAGCAGTTGTATGGATTGCGGCTGGAGTAATAAGGCTTAACCGAGGTGTAAACTCCACGTTTTAATGTTTCCTTCGCTTCAGAGTTTCACAGCGTCGTATGGATTCCAGTCTCTCTACCTACGTCACATCGAAATTCTCTGAATATTTACGAAAAAATCTTCGCGAACTTTGCGAACTAACTTAGATACTCACACAAGACAATAGAGTTCAAAAGTACTTTTTCAAAAAAAACAAAAAGGTCACGTGGACGTGATCGCTGGAATTCACATGCTAATAAGCGTTCTTAAAGACACGCATACAAAATAAGACAGACACGAGGGGAGAAGAAAGACGAAATTATGTAGGAAAGACGAAGTAGATACGCTACACAAGTGACCCTGTTTTGTTTCATGTCCCACGAGACAGGTATCTCGAGAGCCCCAGGGTTTAATGGTCCCCCAAAATCCCTTATGGAAACGTTTACATATGGAGACGATTAATAATTCAGATAAATTTACATACCAATCGTGGTGTAGCTCTATTGAACAATGACTTGTGCAAGGTTTGAATAAACGGGTCTTTGTTAAATTTACAGTATTTGGTCTGTGTTTTAGCAAAGTTGCGCTGAGTTGGCCTGAGAACTGATTCTTATCAGCATCTTTTTTAGATGTTGCTCTTCTTTTCGAAAATAGGTTTGTTATTCTGCACCGAACAACCTCAGTCAAGGAGCTTCAGATCTGAATATCTGTGAAGAAAGTCAGTTCAAGTGGTAAGGATTTAAGCCTCGGATAATAGGATTAATTAACAATAAAAGTTGAATTGTCACTAATCTAATTAGTTTTCTTTCTTAGTTATGCGTAAAAGCTACGATTTGACGAGGGAGGCAATCAGCTGATTTACAGACGTCAAACGCGCCGAAATTAAAGATTTCCAGGCGACAGGAGTCGTTTTAGAACCCAGGACCAAAATGCATAATTTATGCGCGTTGTTAGCAGGTGCGAAGACAATTAGCGAGTCAGCCAATCAGATTGCTTTCTTTTTGTGATGTTTATTTTTCTTCGGGCCAGGCGGAAAGCGTGTGTTATTGTTGTGCTTCAGTCCTTGTCGAACTCAAATTTCGACCCATTTGATGTTCTACGCGAGTGAAGAGAGTGAAAAAGTAAATATAGAAAACAAGAAACATTTTCCCAAGAATGTAAGAGATCGAGATCGCTTGTAGGAGAAGCAGGTGGGATGATTTTTAATCATTTGTTACATTTCGTTAAGATCGAACGTGTCTGGCTACTTGGAACGAGTAAACTATTCTAACCGTTGATGAATATTTGAAATCGAGGGGGATTCGCCTCAGTTGAAATTCTGTATAACGATTGATCCAACAGCTCGCAAGAAAACGCATTTATTGGGAAAATGAAAGCAGCATTTTGGCGCCAAGGGTTTGTCGACCAATTCGTTAGCAGTTATGGCTTATCAATTGCCATTTTTTTGTTTACATTTATCCCATAATTGTCTTGCTGTTATTTGGTAAACTCGCGAGCACGTGGCCAAGGCAAATTTAATTCTTAATCCACGAATGTCCGTCCTAGTTTTCGCGTCAAATACAGTCTCAGTTACTGCTATTGTGTATGTTAATGTCGACATCAAAGTGACGTACTGCCTTTATCGTCTAATTCGAAGGGTGAAGACATGATGTGACAAATCATCTCTGTATATAGCAACCAGCATATATTACAGACCATACTAATAAAACAATGATTATATAAGGATCGAGGAAAGATGAACCATATGGATTGTAAGAACTTACTCTCAAAGTTGAGGATAAAAACTGAAATTGTTTGAGAGACGAGAGACATAGAATGGGTCAGAAGTCTTTTTTCAAAAGGAAAAGAACTGCCCAGAAATTTTGAAACGCGTTTATGAGCAATATATTGCAGCGTAGTTTAGCATATTCTGTCTCGCTTTAATAGAACAGCGGGAGCTGATCTTCGACTCTCGATAAAAGCCTTTAACAAATGATAACCTACAAAATATGTGGGTCATTGTATTAAAAACATAACCGGCGAATAAGGGAAACTCTGGAATATAATTTACCAAATAACTGATGTATTTTTTCCGTAATTTGATCTCGCCTTTGGGTAGTAAACCATAAAAATCGGTTAGTTTGGAACAGCAAGTTTGAAAGTATAATACTCCGCCCTGTACTTTAATTCACGAGTTTTGATCGGCGCCGCAGCAGTGAAATATTCTCCGACTATGCTCAAACGTTGAACGAAGGGACTCATAAAAGGCATCTGGCACATCCTCCTGACCTCTTCATTGCCAAGGACACCATAACACCTCACGAAATATCATCATATAAACACTTGCTGTGAAACAAAGCTGCGATTCCCTGTTTTGTAAACATTAGTGGAATTTCATAAATGTTTGTGATTTGACCGCATAAATAATCAATTTCAGCTTTTTTTTTAATTTTAAAAGATCTTCTTCAGAAAAAGCGCGTGAAGATGTAATCTGTCTTCTCTCTCATTATCATACGCATGAAGCAGTGTAACCTGTGCCAACTGTGAATAGGATTTTCGCAGTAGTGTTTGTTTAATTGTTTTATCAAGCTGTTGCTTGTTTGTCTGCAGTCGCGCCTGCTCTAATTTTTGTTGAAGAAAAAAATCAAAGTAATTTTATAGCTGAGCCCGCGATGTTGTTCAGTATTATGTACGACCACCTATATAGTGTAATACTATACACCTAATATAGGGTCCCGAGAGAACACAAAACTAACTAGTTTCCTAAGGGAACATAAATTTAGACTTTCCCTAAAACAATAGAGCTGTTGTATTCGGCGCGCGGGCAACAGCTGCGCATTATTGTATCCCGGTCGGGATACCTTTGATTTAAAGGCACGTGACCAAGAATCAACCAATCACAGTGCTAGTTTTGTTCAGTGGAAGTCTAAGTATGTAACATTTACAATTATTTACCGAAGTGGAGGTGAATAGCACTTGCTATTTACTTCCGAACTAGCCAATCAGCCCGCACGAAAAGCATTAATCACTTGTGTGGTATATACGAACAGGAATTATGATTGAATAACAAACTGTCAATGTGATGATAGGGTATTGGCTGAAAAGGTTGTCATCCATCAGCTTTGTTACCGTCACTCAAAAACGTTTTCAAAAACGTCCTTTATGGAAAACTTAAGGAAAACTTTGTGTTTTGAATAAAACGAGCTTCACTAATTAGTCATTTGTTTAAACGCTCTCAGTCTTAAAAAGACTTTTGGGAGAGGCATTTTTTCAAAGTATCTAGTTTTATTTCAAATATTTAGGCTGACTTCTATTAAGTCTAAAAAAGTTCCTCCTCTATCATCTTTTATATCTTAGATTGCCAATCTAGGGAAGTTCAAGACACGCATGTTAACATACACGTTGTAAGAAATAACCACTTGATACTAGTAGGATGAATTAACTTTCTCTAATTTCATCCTTCACTTCTCCTCCCTCCTTTGTAAATTATCTCCACAATCATCAATCAAATAATGGACAACAGTTACTCCAAATGCCATATTGGTAACAATCGTATCATTGTTAAAAATAACCGGTTAATGAGCCTTAACCAGTCAGCCATGATAGTTTTCAGCCCGGCATAATTTGAAAAGTGGTTCAGCAACAATGGACTCCCTGAATCTCTGTTTCTCTGAATCCCTGAATGTTCTGTTCTTACCAACCAACCGTGAGCTAAAAGATAATAATAATAATAAAAAGATAAGCTTATTTGTTGAACAATTTTTATTTGAGAGAGTGGAAGAGTGTTCGTACTATTTCTCTCATTGTTTTGGAACTGTATCATTATTCCACCGAGCACTCAAAAGCACCCCGCCCAGAATGGCGCGTGACGGATTGTTCCTCGATCTTGACGACGTCGCGCCGTTGACGTCATAATGTTTGTCGCGATCGTGCACAATCACGTCTTCATTTGGTATGTTGGTTAACCATCAAGATGAAATTAACTTTCATTCATTTGAACCAAGAACAACTTAGAGAAACCTCAGTATCGTCTATGCAAATAATTGCTTCATTCATTTTGTATATAATAACATTTTACGATGTTTGGAAAGCAAAAATCTGTCTGAAACCGAGAGAACCACAGATTTGGTCTTTAAATGGTAATGAAACCGGAAACGAAAGCGCTTGTGGGATAGCCATTCAGTTTTCGTCTAATCACAACTGAGTGATCATTTGAGTATAGATGAATTACGCTCGTGAAGTGTCACTAATATTACTGTCACATCACGTTATTAAAAATATCTGAGAGAGATTACAAACTTCTCGTTCGAGGAGAAAGTATTGGAAGAGCGGTAACTCTGGAATATCAGTACATTTGGAGGTTCGATGAGTTTCCACCGGTAAGAGACACATTCTATGTATTATACTATCGGTAAAGTTACATTTCGCAATAGCAGCTCTCTCTCTCTCAGAACTTTCTGCTTAACTGAGCTTGTCGATAACGCCATGAACTGACTTGGCAGTATACGGATTTTCAAGACTCTCTGCCTTTACAAAACAATAAAATACTTTACGTTTCCGCTTAAAAAATTTCGTTTTCTAAGTAGCTTTTCATTTAGACACCATCTTGTGTATTGTAGCTTTTAGAGTTTACTTGTTTGATTTTATAAGTGCTAATTAAAGTCGTGGTCGTCGTAGTGAAGAGTTAATGTATTTTATATAATTATCAGCCGTTGAAGTGGTTCAGAATATGTTGAGACCCATATTCTGTTTAAATCTATGTCCTTCTTTTAGTTACCTATAGCCACGAGAAACTATTTTATAACAAAATTCTCTAGGTGAAAATGAGATTTTTTTAAGCCAGCTTGATTTTTCTCTAAACTTAAAACTTAAGTAACCTCAGCACGCACGGAGAATTTCGAATGAAATTGTCAGTATAGTGACAGTAATCTCTTAGAGAAATTCAAAAATTGGTAGTGGAGCAGGTTATGGCTTTTGGGGAAAACTAAAAACTTTCCTTCTTGCCATCAATTTGACTTTCACATCTGTAAAGATTTTCTGCTCGAGAGTTTTTACGAACTGTTCAACATTGTGTAAATCAAAAACTTTTCAATCACCAATGGAATACCAATCGTAATAAAAAGTTCTCTTGAGAAATTGAGATCTTTATTTTTTGTTATTATTTAGATCTCTGAAATGAATACCTGTGGAGATCGAATTAAAGCCTTTTGATGAGGTACTCCGAACTCTGTGGATTGTTTATAACTTGTGGTCTTTATTGCGTTTCCGTGCAGTAGCAGCCGGGTGGAACAGAACTCGCAAGGATCGAGCTTATAAACTGATAATAAAACTTCTTTAATCCCAGTGCTTGTAATTAAGTCCTTGCGCTGATCAGTTTTCTTCTTGAGGGATTTTAAATAAGCTTTTAAACAAAGCCGCATGAGAATTTAGAAGAAAACGCCATCGCTTGAATGCCTGCTATGATTCGTTTGCGCTTGATTAAGCTTCAATTAAAAACATACCGACATTGACTTTCACACCTTTATTCCACTGAATCTTTAAAGCCGCGTGGTAGAGAGATACGATCTATGTCTATCATGTGTCATATACTAAAAAAGGACCCTTGGACAGGGCCGTGATTTGTGATGATTAATGAGTTTATGAGACTGATGGTTATTACAGAATGTAGTGGAGCAAACTCTCAGATTCCTTCCAGTTTCGTTAAGCTGGATTCTTATAGATCATAAAGTGTTGCTTTTTAGACTGCTAGTGAACCATTCCCGGTCGCAGCTTTGTTTGTTTGGGTGCAATTCCTCTAACCTTTCTTCTACCGAGTTTGCGCCCTCCAGTCTTAAATTGTCCTTCAATGCTTCTTCTCTTGCTCGCTAAAATTTAGTAGCTGACGATCTGAAAACCTTACTGAGAGACACGAAAACAAAACGCTTGTACAGAAAAAGAAATTGTAGATGTTGACTTCCACTCGGCCGGCCGTTGGCCCGATTTACTTAGCAGCCTAGCTAATCCAATTAGCTATAAATAGGTTCTTTAATAACCCTCTCTGGAAAAGACTGTTAAGTTGTGCTCCATTGGCGGGCTAGTAAAATAATAGCTGACTTTGACAACCGCTGTAGGACCCTGTAAGGAATTTTGGAAATGCCTGACATGTTTGGCGTTAGTTAGCCCTTTGTCAGAGCTAGCGTTCGCAACTTGAGCTTCTAAAAAATGTCAAATTTCACTTAGAGGGCCGTTAACAAGTGCTTCGGAAACTTTGTTTGGGAACTGACCCAGAATTATTGAATTCGTTATTCTGCTGGCGTGGTTTCTTGCAAGGATATCGTGTGATATCTCATGGTTTACTTATTGACAAGCACGTACAAGAAATGTTTTTCGCACAGAGTTTGAGCGCTGCTTTTTCTTTCTCATTTTCAACTAATAAACAGCGTACAAAATGGAAATATGACTTTGCGAAGTATAACTTGCCAAATGATCGTCGTTGAATTCCTGTGAGCCATAGACCTACTAGGCCAGTTTAGTTTCCGCGTTTTACATTTTTGGTGTCGTTTTATTTTTACGTACTTTTATTGGCTTAAAGTATTGAGATATATATATATACATGGAGTTGTGTCTGCGGTAAAGATGGGCTAAATTTGTTATCTGCTAACCTGAGTTTTCTGACTAAGCTATGTAGCAGTGGACCACAAACACTTCAGTTTTTTGCAGTATGAGTGGTACAAGTCAAGGGGCGAAATCAGCCAATTGTCACGCGCAGACCCCGTGTAACTACCGGCAGAACGAGTAACGACGGTAACTAAACTTGCTTAGTCCGGATCAAGGTTGCTCCGGCTTTCTGATACAACTGTCTTCGGATACATCGCGTGCGAATTTCGAAGCAACGTAAACCATAGAATTGCTGTTTATTTCAGTTTGCTTTCGAGCGTCATTATAGTCTTTTGGCCATGACGCTAATTGATAAAATGTTGTTCATTTTCTTTGCCTGGGATTATCGATTAATCCTTTATTCAAGTGATATGCTCATTCCGTTCATTCCAATCGAAGACCTCATAACACTGACGATTTGTGTAAAGTTGCTCTCCTAAACTAAAGAAAATTTTCACTCACATGTAATTAAAAACCAAACAACAGAAAGTGAAGTCCCCCTGAAGTTGCTCTTTGAGTCGTCACGAAACACCCCCTAAAAGAGGGCTCCGCTTTGGCATGTGAGGGCGAGGAAGGAGGGGGGCGGTGATGGAAGGGGGGCAGTGGAGGAAGGGTTGCGTTGTAGAAGCGTAAATGACATACCACGGAATGGCTACCAAGGAGTCCCAATCTTGGCCGCGCGTATGGATCAGCTAGCAGGACTGGATTAGAATGATCCGGGAAGCTGACTACCGGCATCTCAAGGCATGGCCAGAAAAAATTTATTCATCTCTGCAAAACAAAGCAACATGACTTTAGTCGGATCCGATATGAAATGACGCAACTCACCTGCTCTAAACCCCAACATCTCGGACAAAAACAGGTTTGGCAAGGCCGGTTCATTGTCAAGGTTCAAAATAACCGTTTTATTCGCTTTAAGTCGCGAGTGGTTCCAAAATACTTTTAGTCTTATTGAGTATGTTGCTTTCCCCCATTTAATCAAAGCCTAAAACAACATGGCCGATAAGTAAACCCGAAATGTTGATTTGGTAACAGTCTGAGTTTTTGTGTAGCTCGCTTATTCGTGTTCTCTGCATCACAACCTCTTAGGATCGATTGGAGTCAGAACTTTTCCGTCGTGTGCATAAATTGAGTGAAATATGTGCAATTATCTTCATTCAAGTAATTAACGAAGCAATAAAATACAGTTTCAATTGAAAAAGAAAACAGATTTGTGCTGAAAAGTCGCAGATTATGAGGGGAAAGCGTTTGTTTTACCTCCGGGCTTGTTGCCAACAATGCAGCTTTGAGAAGTTCCGTCTGCGATGAATTTCGAGCTCACTGACAAATATTTCCGAGACTGCTTTGCCACCATAACAGAAAAAAACTTATTAGTTGTTAATGAAAAGCAAACAAGGAAATGTTTTTACTTTAAAACACTTTCGTTGACTTTGCGTTTTGTTACAAGAAGTAAACAAGGCCCTTAGTTCTCACATAAGTTACTATGAGGCCTGCTTCAGTTTTATGTATTTAGAGTATGAGAAAGATGTGTGAGATCTCACAGAGCATAATTATTACAATGTCTTTAAGATAAGCTTTTAGAATTGCAATTTTTTAAGAAGGAGTGTTATTTCAATTTTCACTATCACTTTGTTTACTGCTTTTAACATGTTATTATGAAAAAATAGATTTTGGTCTGTAAAATTGACCACAAAGGAGTTATTGGTTCTTGCCAGTTTTGATCATCCACAAAGAAACTTTTTAATGCCCTGATCCCTTTATTTAAGAATCAGCAACTAAGTTAAGCTCTAAGGCTTAGTCGATGGCATTTATCTCTGATCACTGTATCCGGTTTTTTTGAAGTTTGTCGACAAATTAATTGAAACACAGAATAAAAATTTTTTATTCGATTAGACGGACCGGAAATGTATTATCGAATACTTAAAACTCCCAGTTAGCTTGTGTCAAATTTCAGGTGGTATAACGATCAATGAAACTGTGGTAAACAGTTGTGGCTTGAACTCAAGTGGTTACTGCTGACTGACAGCGATGATATGTAGCGTCTGAGAGAACATCTTCACAAGTGAGGATTTGGTAACCTTGAGAAGTCACGCTTTGTTTGGAAAAGTCGCAACTTGTGTGTTATTTTTCACAACTAAGTACATATTGTAGGAGTTGTAATGTTCACGATCTCTGTGGGGGGAACTCTTACAGTAAAACAGTTGTTTTCAACTGCTAGAAGAAGGAAATTCTGATAGGGAACTGTATGGGCCCACTAGCCACTGTGATATTCCTTGAAGCCTGTTTTAACCCGGGCTGAAATAGTGACCATATATTGAATGAACTCTTTCAGACGAGGGCAACATTAAGGTCAAATAATAATGGTGTATATATTTTCTTAATTAAAAGAAGCCCATACTAGTGAGTCAGACAGCTTCGGAAAGCAAACAAACGAAGGAAAATATCGTCTGAAACCATAGCACCGATCACTAACAATGATTCAGTCATTAGTCTCTTATTTGATCCCGGAAAGTCACGACATAATAAAAATTTACCGCCACAGGATTACAAGGATTAGCCAATACAGTAGTCAAATATAGGTGATAGTTTAGTTTCGTCTATCATTAAAAGCACTAGTTACAAAAAATGCGCTAAGTGATGATGGCTTGGAGGTTTACGCATTAAAGTAAGTCTTGGTTTACCAACTATTCTTGGCTTGCCTCTACAAATAACGTATTTAACGAATTAATCTAAATTGAACAAATTGAGCCCTCAAAATCGGTCCTCTTGATTGCGCGCGTTATCTGTGTTTATGTTATGAAGCGCCGTGAATAACTCGTTGATAGACCTGATGGCGGTTCTCTGTTAAGTAAGTAGGCTATTTTTTCAACGACAAGTACCAATTATAAATTGTCGAGGAGTTCTTTTGTATGAAGCGCACATTCCTGCCGATTTTTATCGCACGTTGCTTTGCTATTCAATTTTTATTCAAGAACTAATGTGTTTGTTGATCAAAAATCGCATAGCTACAAAACTAAGGCAAACAAATGGACTTGACTGACAGGCTGAAAGATTTGTTTTGACATCGCGAACATCGACAAGGCACGAAAGACTTAGAATGTCGGTAAACTTTGCCAAACAAGACGCTTTCAACTACCAAGCGAACCCACAATTACTCGACAAAAAACAGGTTCTTTATTGGGACTAGAAAGAAAAGGACCACACAATAACTGTAGGAATTACTTTCAATTAGTTAGGGGTAAAATTTCCATAGGGGTTTGTCTACTTACGCGCATGCGTTGTTTGCTCGATTCTTGAATGGGACAGTTTGTATTGGCGTGCTGTGGGACCGAGTAATAATTTGATCATGTGTTCTTTCGCCTCTCTCAGGATACAATTCTAAGATCGCCGATTGCAGTGGCATTATGTACTTGATGTATCGCTTTAATAAAGTCACTGCATATCGCTCTCATGCTTCGACAAGAGGAATCTACAACGCTGCCCAATAGTGCAGGCCTACATGAAGTCGACGTAAGAGCCACTCCAGCTGGTAAATCAAGTAAGTGCAAAGCTGGTTGTTTATTTCACTCCTGCTACCAGCGGAAATGTACACGCAAATCATTACCGATTGCTGTCACGGGATGTTGAGAATTCGAGCAGAGGCTATAAGCGTTCATCAAGGGACGTTTTTTAACAAAACAATATCTTACTGAAGCAGTTCTGTAGGGGGCAGCAATGATGTGTACGCGGGATTAGAATACAAAACAGTTTTTTCCTCAAAGACGTTTTCTCTTTCTGTGAGGAAGAATTTAGCGTCATTTGACCCGGTCATGAGAATCTTTGATCCGCGTCAAAACAAGAACCAAATTAACCCAACCGATTTCACGACAGACTTCTCGTGTTACAACCAGTGGCTCTCTGAATTGAAGAGAGTCGATGACGAAAGACAGAAATGTTTTGTAATGCTGAGTTTAGCTCTTTATTGTGTTGCTCATTGCAGAGGAAGACGTTAATCGAAATTTGAAGTAATTTTTTCGGGAAATTCGTGGCAGGTTTTCGCGTGCTGTTGAAAATGAAGGGAACTAAACTCATTTCCACTTCTTGAAAGAGAACTTGTAATGACAGAAAAATTGATAAAACAAGTACTATCCAAAGAACTCATAAATGAGTTAGGTTTGTATGCATCCTTGACCAATTAGGGGGCCTTCACTTAATTCAAGTTTAAACTTCTTTTCACAGCGATGTGTAAAGAATTCTAGAAAAACAATAGCTCATTTACATATATAACTTAACGATAAACACCAATGGGAATTGGCTTAAAATATTTCACTTTACTCAACTTTCCCAACACACTGCCTGTGAGGGTTTAAACTGATTCTCGCTTCTCAGGAGTAATGTGTTTAAGAGTTGGGGCGGCAACAGCGAGGGTGTTGTTAATCCAGTTTATGACCAGTGCGTAATCTTTATTTGACTCAAAGCCGCTGTTATTGAAATATACACGTCTCACCATCTCGTTTATTGCTCTACAATCCCACGACATTTGACATTTTCGTGGGTTGCCTTGTAAAGTTTGTGTCAAAAAGCTGTTTAACGAGAGCATATGCTTCCGCTGTTTGTTGTATAAAGTAAAGAGTTCGCTCTCTTTGCTGTCACTTAAAAGGGTTAATGCAATCTCCGGTTTTTTCTTTCTTTTTCTTTGAGAAACCTTGGCTTAATATCATTTGCATTGCGATATTCAGTTTCCATTCACTGTCATGATGTTTGTTTTTTGATATCAAGTTTCTTTTTTTTGTTTCGTCAAAACTTGGATTTATTAATGTTTGACTAGTGACAGCTGAAAGTGAGTATCAATGATATTCGTGTTAACACATAATTTTCACACATAATTTTTACACTTGCTGTAGTGACTGTCATACTCCTCAGTTTGTGCTGCGTGTTGCGTGTTGTGTGTTGCGTGTAATAAAATACGGTACGGTCAGAAAGTCTATGCCAATCAAACCACGGCCTTTTTTATATTCAGCTTAATCATTTCTAATTTTACTGAGGCCTGGAGTTTTATATTTTCACTCCCTTAATTATAAGGTGCAAGAACATGCAGGTTATAAGGTGCAGAACATGCACGTTACTCTTAAAGGCCCTTTACTCGGCAGAAAAGTCTGGTACGGACGTGTCAAAAAAGTAGTACGGACCGCATAAGTTTAGCCGTATACACGAATGATGTTTTGTCACGGGTTGGACAAAAAGAAGCATAAGGATCAAGTTAGCAAAGTTGCGTTTACACTGCAGTTTTTGGGGGACCGGACCAATTTCTTGCATGAGACAACAGTATTTGGTACAGCTGTGTGCTGTTATCGAACATGCGTACCGTATTTACTCGAATAAGCGCCGCGGCGCTTATTTAATTTTTCGCCCCACAAGCGCGGTGCTTATTCGAGGGCGGCGCTTATTTAAAAATTGTACCAGACAAATTTATATTTTAATTCAACGGTACACTTTCTATCTGTCAATTTTCCTATGGACTGATGCTAAACTGATAGTAAATCTAGAATTACGAGAGAAATACGTGCGGTGAAAAACCCCCAAGCGTTTCATAACCCGAGCAGAGAACATCACATTTAAAGAATATAATTGCCGATGCTGTGTTAAAATTGTTTTATAGTGTTTTTCCTGGTTATACGGAATTCCTCGAATAAGCGCTGCATCGGGGGTGCGGTGTTATTTGAGGGCGGCGCTTAATCAAGGGCGGCGCTTATTCGAGTTGATACGGTAATTCTTATAAACAAAATGGCGACGAGTGATCCAAGAAATTGGTCCGGACCCGTGTTTTTTCTGGTTTTGGGGCTGTAGAAGTCTATGGCCCCAAAACAAGAAAAAACCCTGGTCCGTATGCATCCCCCAAAACATGGTACGGATTGTTTACACGGGAAAAAATGTCAGGTTCGTACTCCTTTTTTGACAAGTCCGTACCCGATCAATTTTTCTGCCGTGTAGACAGCCTTTTAGATTACGATCCATCTCGAGTTTTGGTTTAAATAATTTTTCTTAACTTACCTTCTTACTTGCCATTAAAGTTTCAAATGGCAAATTAAAATTTTTTGATAAATTTTCAGTGCCAGTAGTTAAAGTAATGAAATATAAATACTCGACAAGTTCTTTGAGTCACGTGACAACGTGAAGGACATGCGCTGAGCGCGAAATTTGATTTGCCAGAGCGGTAAAGCGGTTCAGTTGAAACGGCTTGACATCATTTCCTTTCAAGCAACGTTTCAAGTATGTTTCTTTAAATTTCGAGGAAAATTCTTATCAGAGTTCGGTCCTTAATTCTAGAGTTGTGATACTATGAGAATTCATCTACCGGGCAGAGGAAAAGGTGAGGAAAGTGGCCTTAAGAGATCTCTTGTGGTCACGTACTTCTCTCTGAAATTCAGTTCGCCAAACTACCGTAATCGCTGAAAGCACGCGAACACTGAGTTTTATTTTATTGATTTGCAGAATCGTCGAGCAGTGGACATGAAAGGTAAGAGTCAATCTCGCTTTGTTTTATTTCTTCGACAGAGCCCACATTTATTGTGAACCTTTTACTTTTAACTTACATCCGAGTACGTGGTGCTGAAAATAAAACCGATAGGCGCGATCACTTTTAACGACATTAACTGATCATGTCCTTTCAAAGTTGTATTTTGGTTTTTTGAACGTAAGCTACTATAACTATAATTTTTCCAAGTGTTATTTCGTTCACAGGGCTTTCCCATATAGTAAACCTAGCGTTGGTGCTTGCGCAAGTCGTCTGTTGCAATAAGTAAACAAACATAGAAAGCTTCATTGTGAAGTGACACGAACGGACATTTTTGATGCTCCGAGACGCTAGAAGCAAAGCTTTTAAGCAAGCTTGAACGATCGGTTGTTGACACAGAATAATATCCCAAAGAAGTAAAGATTGAAAGAATCGAAACTTGATGGCAATATCATTTGGATATGGAAGGTTCAACTGCACGAGTGTAATTTTATTTAGCTAATTTTTGTAGTTCTTCGATTCAAGTTAAACATATGTACACTCACTTTGCAACACAGAATTTACACTTCTTTGTCTATTTTACGTTTGTTGCTTATTCAAAGATGAATTTCTTTTATGGCGAAGAAATGTTTTCTGCCAAATTATGGAAAACATGAGTTTTAACGTGGTAATGGTCATTCGGCTAACTACTTCGTACTTTCATCTTTGGCAAGGTTGTGCGTAGCGTCGATTTTATTTTTGGAAAAGTAACAACTGTACAAACAAACAAGTTAACTTGTAATCAGTCTGTTTATGTGTGTTTAATTATTGTTACTGCAGGGAAATTGAAATATTTGATGCTACTTTGTTCCTAGAAGGCTAAACCGGTGTCAGTGTATCGGCTTTAAGAAACTGTCAATTTGTGTTTAAAGCACAATGTATTTTCGTTGCGAAATTTTTGCTCCTTTCATTCCAAGTTATTTATTTTGAAAGAAGATCGATAAATCCCTTGTTGAAGTGTGTATACGTTAAGGGAGTCGTGGCAATTTTTCGTATATAGTGATGGATTCAATATAATGGTATTTTCAGATAATTAAATTTGATTTGGCTACTGCCCTTATGTTCGAATTTCTGTTAATTCAGAACATGGATGCAACAGGTGGAACGTAAAATAATATTGCATATAAATTTTAGAAGACATATCTTTATGAAAATACAATTCTCTTGTTGGCAGTAAACGTTAAGAGATGGCTGTTTGTTTTTATTCATGAACAGCCGATGTACGTGAAATAAGTTGTAATGAGTATGGTAATACTGCAGTTACCTCCATGGTTTTCATCAATTTTGCTGGAACTGCATGCATTTCATGTTGAGTTATAAATAACAAGCTGCTATGTCAGCTGCATTAACATGCATGTCTATAATGGCATTGTCAACCTGCTTTCTGACCTCTACAATTTTGATGGTGAAAGAATATATTTTGAAAAGCAAGAAGCATCTCTGCAAAACAATTTAGAGATGAAAATCTAGCCTCAAAATCTAGTGATCACAAATTTCATTACCTTGTTATGTTGTTTATCACTTTTCTTATATGCATTTTGAGTGTATTGGAATGTTAATTGTAGCTTGTTCTTTATTTAAAATTGGAAGGTATTTTGAAGAGTAGAATCCCCAAATTTTTCATTTAAACTGAGCTGCAGGTAAATTGTGATTGACACGTCATCCTACTAATTTAGATTTTGCATGGATCTGAGTCTTAAAGGTGTTTGAAATGTTTCCTAAAGGAAGAAATTGTGATTGCTGGTATGTAATTTATTAATCAAATTTAATGGCTAAATGATCCTTAACTTCCAATCTTGTTTATTAAGTTTATTAATTGGTCAAAGCTGTATTTTTTTTTTATCTGAAGAGATAATCAATAAAGCATTTAGATAACTAACATGTCTGGATTCGACAAGGAAATTGACATGACTTTTCCCTTGTGTAAATGTGGTTAGGGTGTTTTTCCACATCCTTCCACAAGCAGAATGAAATATTCAAAAGGCTTGAATACAGTGGAAAGTTATAAATGTATTTCCATGTTAGTTGCACCTTACATGGTTTGTTTTCTTAGTCTGTCTGCTTTATTATTCAGACAATTTAGATTCATAGTCCTATTCATTCAATCATGCATTCATGGTCAGCTTTGACGTATGTTTAATTTCCACAGATATCAATGCACTCAGCCATGCATACTACAAGTCTTAGAGAGAATTGTTCAGAAACAAAACCAGGCTCCTCATCAAGGAGTGTTTTCCGAAATAATTCTGCTTAAAGTCTTTTAAATACATTGTGTGCAGAAATCAGATCTTGAAGGATGAACTTTTTAAAAAGCGCAAGCTTATCTTTCTCTCGTATGTATATAAACTACAATAATATATTCTTTATGTGGGGGGCACAAAAGAGAGGCTGTTCCCAACAGGGGAATTGATTGTTATGGATATTATTGACAATCTATCTTTGGATGGTGAATTGAATAGCTCTTAATAGAAATTGCAACCCATGGTGTGAAAGAAGAGGATGAATAATTTTGGTGTTGATTAGCGCTTTATGTATGGAAAGCAATTGAATTTTCCAAGGTCATGGTTTGGAGAGTAGCATTGTCAATATCACGATGGATGATCATTAAGCAGCTTTTACATGATGCTTATGGTTCCTGAACATAAGTGCAGGTTTAATAGGAGGCATAGTCACTCGTCATGTACTTTTTGTCAAAGGTAAAGTGCTATGTAGTAACCTTAATGAGAATATCAGGCAGGAATGAGTTGTACCAAACCCTATGGTAGAGCTAATACAGTGGTTGATGACAATGTTTTATCAAATTGATATTCTTTGAGTGTTTGAGTTTTGGTTTTCTGCTTTATTTTGTTATTATGCCCAAGTTTATTATGCTTAATGTTATATTGGCTCCATCCTTGATAAACTGCAATATCACTGGTCGCTTTTCTTGTTGTTTGGAGCATTTTTACTTCTGTTGTTGTTACCACTACAGAGCCTCCTTCTACATTAACTTTGCCAAAATGATTTCATCTTGACAAAATGGCTTTAATTTTCCTCCAGAATATTGTATATAACAACTTTTCATTACAGAATTGCTTACTCCAGTCTCTGATATTATAGTTCACTACTAGTCCCAGCTGTTGTATTGTGATAAATGTTTTCCTTGTGGTTTTTTTAGTAGTTTACATTGCATAGTGGTCATATCTTAATTTTACATCTGTTATGGATAATATATTCTGTGATGCTGAGAAGTTGAATGTTAGAATTGTTCTTAAAAATGCTTTCTGTCGATGAGCTGGCTCTAGTTTAGTATGAGAACTGGGACTTTGCTAATTGATGTGCTTCTCTGGTTTCTTTTATATATATATATACATATAATTAGGAATCTCTTATTGGCTTAGTCTTGAAACCCTGAATTTTTAATTCTTGTTTATTGTTTAAATTTACTGTAATCAGATTATGTTTCTATTCTTCTAGCTAAAATTATCTCTATTGCTTGAGATAATTGGATCAAGCTTTCATTTTTCATAAAACAATTTTGTATTTTCCAGTTGAATGCTTCTCAAAATTGAAATTTAATCAGAATCTTAAAAGAAAGCTCTCCAAATTCTTATTAAAGATGTTTATCTACCAGTACTATTTATCTCATAATTGTTCATAATTATACATAGAGATATGTATGGCAGAGTTTGGTAATGCAGTATAGACATTGTCTCTATTTTTATCCAAGTCTTTTTGTGAAAGAGTGCCTCAGGAACAAAAATGATGAATTTAGGAAAGTTAGAAATAACTGCGATAGTTATAGATTGACTTCATTAGAATAGATTGTGATGAGCATAAAAAAATTGTACTTCTTGTATAACCAAGTGTTTGTATTTGATTGTATTCCTTGTATTATAAAGTTCTATCAAACTGAAAAAAAAAAATTTTTTTTTCTATAGATCCTAATGCATTGTAATACTCATGTCATCAGTATAAAAGCTGGCTGTTTTGATTTTCAGTGGGGAAGGAGATAACATCCGAGTGTATGTACGTGTCAGACCTCCAGCTAAAAACCTTGAAACAGACGTTGATCGCACAGCATGTCTAGATGTAACATCTGCAAATACAGTTGTACTCCAGAGCAAGCCTGATCCAAAAACATTTTCCTTTGATCATGTGGCTGATGTTAACACAACTCAGGTAACTACTATTTTGTAAGTTAACAGACTGTAGATTATGTCCAAGAAATACCAGTAGGTTTTTTGTCTCCATTAGTCTATCATTCTGCTTAATAAATATATCTTATTAACCAAGTGCAAGGGCCGTACTGGGAGAATATTGGTCTGAGTTCTTGACAGTACGGACCGAGCGCAGCGCGGTCTGTACAAAAAAGACCGAGGGCCGATATTCTTCCAGTACGGTCCCGAGCAAGCTTGGTTAATAAGAGATTTATTATACGACTGAAGTTCAAAGGGACACACGTGCGGTATCATTCGGGACAGTGCTCGGTCCAATACTGAGAGAATATTGACCGGTGATAGAGCATTTTGATTGGTTGATTTTAGTTATTGGCATTCTGACTGCCCGAGTCGTGTAATAAATCTCTCATACCAAATGGAGTCTTAAATGTGTTTCCAATTGACTGCTACTGAGTACATTGGAATTTCAAAACCTATTTACTGTCTTTCAAATCATGGTTTTTAGCATTTTAGTCTAGGTTGATATAATTTTATTTGCTATTAGATGTACTTCCTGTTAGATCCAAAAGAGTTCCATAGTTTCTTTCTGACATAGAGATGCAGATTTATTTAGAACCTGCAAACTGACACAACTTTCTTACTAAGTTATGAGGCTTTGAATATCGATTGAATGGTTATTATTTTAATTAGAACTAAAGTCATTATCTATGGTATTGTTGAACAGGAAGAGGTGTTTGGAGCAGTTGGGAAGAAGATTGTAGAGGGTTGTGTTGCAGGTTACAATGGAACAATTTTTGCATAGTAAGTTGATCAATATATATTGCAAATGTAATGTAATGCCTATGCACAGCTGTGAGTTGTATCATTTCAATCTTGTGATTTATCAAAGTGTTTTAAGATCATTATCAGGCAGCAAACCATGATGTCCTCTCTGCATCTGCCTCCTACTGGGTTACTTTCTTTGTTTCATTTAGTTCAGTGGTAAAGTTAAGTAATGGTATTGCTATTGTTATTTGAATAACTTATTTAATAAAGCAGTTTTTATACATCTTCTGGGTATATGTATCTTTAATTGCTATCATGTATAAATTAAAAAATGTTACAATATTTTGCTTTTCAACTCAAACTGAATAAAATCTCAGGTAGAATTTTTCACAGTTTATTAGCTATTTGAAGGTTTCATTTCTGTTTTAAAATCACTTTTCAATGTATTTGATTTTCTTTTGTTCTTAGCGGCCAGACTGGCTCAGGGAAGACGTTCACCATGCTGGGTAAGTCTTGGCTGTTAAAAATATTTGTGTAGCTAAAATTCCCTCCTATGTAAAGGTGTGATCCAAAAATAAGCTAGAAATTTCCATTTGTTTGAATTGTTTATCTCTGTGTGATAGGACCTGCCGAGGGTGAAGAAGAGAGCTTTACTCATCAGCTCCGTGGGGTCATACCACGTGCATTTGAATACCTATTCAGTTTGATAAACAGGGAACAGGAAAAGGTACATTCTTGTGCATTCTTGATAAAAGTGCTTCATGCTGGGATATATTGTCTAAGCAGACTTAGTGCTGAGCAACTTACCCCCTTTACAGGGTTCGTATGCGTCTTGAAAACCCTCGAATTTCAGGAGGCGGATTTCAAGGCCTTGAAAGTACTTGAATTTCATTTTGGGTCCTGAAAGTCCTCGATTTTTTATTGAACAACATGGAAAAATATCTGCTTTTGTTTTGCACCATCGGCAAACTCAAAACATAGATGTTAACAGAAACATTTTTCTTGGTTTTGAGGTAAAATTGTCATTAAAAAAAGTCCTTGAAATTTCTTTAAGTAGGGTCCTGGAAAGTCCTTGAATAGCCCTTGAATCTTTGGCCGAAAAAGTATGAACCTTGCCTTTAGTACTACAAACCCCCACTTTGTAGTGATTAAAAATTATATAATATATGAATTATATCGATGAATACACCAAATGCAAATATGGCGTCCAATTTGAATTGCCATTGTTCTAGACTGACTAGCCTCTCACACATGTAATAATCCTTTTGTGTTTCCACATGAAGACGAGGCTAGTCAGTCCAGAACAATGGCAATTCAAATTGGACGCCACATTTGCATTCGGTGTATAAAGGAACTTTTCCCCCTCAACTGTCCAAAAAGCAAACTAACTTGAAACAAAATTGAAGAAGGGAATTTATTTGTGTTGTTTTTTTTAGCATGGTGAACGAGTAGAATTCTTGTGTCGCTGTTCTTTCTTGGAGATCTACAATGAACAGATATTTGACTTGTTAGATCCTGCATCAATGGGCCTGTCTCTTAGAGAGGACATCAAGAAAGGTGTATTTGTAGATGGACTTCTTGAACGGGATGTGGCCAGTGCCAGGGATGCTTACAGGGTATGCAAATTTGTCTTATGACAAACTTGATATCTCAACTCTTCCTTAATAATGAGTAAAAAGTTTTCAGGATAATTTTGAAGTTATTATTATTTTTTTTTTGTTATTCAGACCTGGAGAGTGTTCTCCAGTTATATTGCCCTATTTTATATTACTGTAATCAAAACTTTCAGTCTTATTGCTGTCAGTGATTTTATATTTGATCACTCAAAAACTCACCTAAATGATTATTCTCTCTTAGGTGTTGAATTCTGGTTGGCTAAACAGAAGAGTAGCTTCTACGTCCATGAACAGAGAAAGTAGCCGCAGTCATGCAGTTTTTACTGTGACTTTAGAATCCAAGGTACAACAATTTTATATAACATACTACATTACCTCACTTGATTATTTCTTAGTTTTCATTAACTTTTATTGCTTTTATTACTTTTCAGGAACGCAAGGCAGGTATGGCAAGTATCAAGGTGTCCCGTCTTCATCTTGTGGACTTGGCAGGTTCTGAAAGACAAAAAGATACTCATGCTGAGGGACTCAGACTAAAGGTAAATTTAAAATGTGTTCCTGCAGTAGTTCTGTCTCCAGTTTGGTAAGTGAATATTGTAACCAGCTTAAAAAAAGTGCTAAATTCAAGTGATGGTCTTTCAAAGTTTTATTTAGTTAGGTGCCACTAGAGTTGAGAGTATAACTTGGTCTTACAAACATTTGTAGATGTGAGTACTTTCACATCATTTTTTCTCTGGTAACCTAAATGGTACTAACTTAAAATTTTCTGTAGTTAAATTACCAAGCACTCATTTGCTATGTTGATCATTTTTGGAGATGTATTATTTTATAACAATTTAATGGAAATTATTTCTCCTCTGACTTTTGGACACTTAGGCACTTTGTTTGTTTGTTTGTTTGTTTGTTTAAGGCAAGTACATGTAGCTGATCTGTTTTGTTTTTCATATGTTACAGGAAGCAAGTAGTATAAACAAATCATTGTCAGCGCTTGGTAATGTGATCATGGCTTTAGTTGACATCACCCATGGGAAGACCAGACATGTTCACTACAGAGACTCTAAACTGACATTCCTTCTCAGAGTAAGTCATATGTGGACTGCCTCTGGTGCAGTGCTTAAACTGGACATTCCTTAAATGCTACCGTTCCTTCCAACTTATGATTTGGTATCATTGCTTCTAACATATATCTTGTGCTTGGATGTGGTGCCAGTAGTATTACAGTATCATGGTAATTTAACTATAGTGCAAAAGTAACAATTTGAATTTTTATTATTTCACAGGACTCGCTAGGTGGTAATGCAAAGACTTATCTTATTGCAAATGTGCATCCATCAGCTAAGTAAGTCCTTGTTTACAAAATCCTACTCTCGCTCTATTAGTAATGACAAAAATAGATATACATGCTTACTGGTTTCTCCTTGAACACAGTCTTTACGTGGCTTAGGGATTTTTGTCGGGATTGAGTCTCATTTTATGTTTGTAACAGGTGTTTTGGGGAAACATTGTCCACTCTTAACTTTGCTAAAAGAGCGAAGATGATTAAAAACAAGGTATTATGGTTATTCTCTTATTGTTTTATCGTTCACAAGTTTTTGCAAACAGTACCAAGGTTATTTTGATAGTGGTAAACGCACGATTTAGACCCTTTTGAATGTTTCATGTTGTAGGCTGTGGTGAATGAAGATGCTACAGGAAGTGTTACTGCTCTCCAAGCTGAAATAAGACGACTTAGAGAGGAGTTGGAGAAAGCTCGAGGTGACAGCGCTAATTTCTTGGTTAATAATAAGTTCAGACACCTGGAATGTTTGCAATTTTACCTGGCCTAGTTCAGTACGCAATAGGTACCCTCATCCTCAACTCATCCGTTGAGAATATTGGCTCTTATAGTGTTAAAATATTTCAGGTTCTTGTTCTGTTATTGGCACAGTTTTTTCGACTATCGTAGTATTATTCTTTTCCCCAATGTACTTAGCTTATTATCCTTTTGTCTTCCTTCAGCTGGAATTCCAAAGCAAATCACCAGACAAGGTACGATGTTACACATCAAAAAGCTTATTCTGCATCGTTCGTATGTGGTTTTGAAATTTTTTTCCGTGCTTGGGGGAACGAAAAATGTTAATTTGTGCAACTTCTCTCTTATGTATGGGGTCATGTAAGGTCATGTCTTGTAAGTGCATCTGACTCAATTTGGTTTCTCGTTTTCCAGAATCAACTGAAGCAGATCAGAACAGTTCTCGAGGTGAAGCTTGTGTCGCTGCTGATACTAACAACAATAACAATAATAATAACAATAATAATAATAACAATAATAATAACAATAACTCAGGAGTTGATGTGAATCAGCAGTACCGGGAGTGGAGAGAGATGATGGTAGCAGCCACGGCGGCTAGGGATCGAGCTGAACAGGAAAAACAGGTTCGAAACTGGCTCAACTTGATAGTAAATCGTGTATTTCTTTTTAAAAAATTTTACCCAAAGTTTTACTATGAAACATGATCAAAGGAACTGCTTTGAAAGAAACGTTGTAAGTGAAGTTTTGGCTATTTAAGTTTAACTCCTGTTGGTAAATATAACGAGTATATATATAGTTTTTTTCCTCAACCGGTGTAACGATGTTACACCAGTTGAGAAAAAAAAAACTATTAAAAATCTTTAAAAACTCCTGTTGTCATTGAGAAAGAGACTAGATGAAATGGCTCATTATCGATCCAGCTTGTAGCAAGGTAACAGTGGAGAGACGTATTACAGCAAAGCTCTATTATTTATTGTCCTGTCTTTCTCTTTCCAGTGCTTAGTTGACAAGGTGCAAAAGCTCGAGGAATTGTGCAGTAAAAAGGAAAAATTCCTTCAGGTCTGTGTACAACTTATGTCTCACCAGCACGATTGATATCATCTGAAATAATCGGAAGCATCGTGCAACTTTGTATAACATGGAACTTTGAATTTCTTTCTTGTTCTACAGTCGACAAAGATGATCCTTAAGTTTCGAGAAAGCACAATTTCCAGACTAGAGAGACTGAGAAAACGAGATAAGGAAGGGTCTGATGGCCAAGAGGATGATAAAGAGAGAGAAATTGTGAGTCTGTAATAAACATTCCTCGCTTTCCATTTATCGTTCTGTTGTTCGAAATAGTATATAAAATGGGTTATTAGCGTTTGGCCTCTGACTTTTTACAGTGTTTTCGTCGTTCGTATTCAATGAAGCTGTCTAGGATTGGAAGGAATGCATTTGTTGCTACAAAATCAAGACAATAATAAGATTTTATTCTAATATTATCACCCTCTGTGTTATTCCAAAATACCATAATCACAATTTTCTTTGGTAAAATCTGTAAAGCTGTTAAGTTTTCCTCCTTCTGTAGCAACTTCTCAAAGACGAAATCGCCGTAATGAAAGATAAACTTGAACACCACCCAGATGTCACTAGGTTTGCTATGGAAAATCTGGAGCTGAGAGGTAACAAACTACCCTCACAAAGCTATTTGTACTTCATTGCATAGGTGTGCCTTTTAGTCGAGTGTTTGTCCGAAGAGTCTACTGTTTGGTGGACTATTTTAATGATTCAAAGTTTTTGACGTTTTTTCCCCCTTTTTTTAGCGGAACTTAAGTGCATACGCACCCGGGATGAAGATGGGACTGATTTCGCTCAAGATCTTGCTAAAAGCCATAGATACACATTACAGTTGGAGAGACAATTGAGGGAATTGCTTCAGTCACCTCAAGGAAGTGGTTAGTTAAATGAAATAAAACACTTTTGGGTCTTAATTTATTAGTGAGTACCATACTATTTCCCAGCGAGTGGAGGAATCGTATTGTCTTTAACGTCTTACTGTCTTCCCAACCAAATTCAAGCCATGTTTGCGGTAATAATCCATCCTCTTGACTGATCTTCAATACATGCAATCTCGTTACTCCAAGGCTGCAAATAACTAAGGGGCAGTCGCCGGTCACGTTGTCCGGTCAAACATGCTTTTTCTCGGACACTACCCGTTTTTGGCCGGTCAAATTTTAATAGTCCGAACTCTTGCGATAGTGAACCCAGATTGCACAGTAATCCCTTTTACAACTAAAAAACAACTGAATCCAAGTCGGTCTGGCAATAAAATTTACAAGTCAATAATTTTACTACTCTTTACTGCAGAAGTAGCCTCGCATTGAGTACGTGGAACGGTTACGCACGATACAACCGCAAGTGTCCGTTTTATTTTACATCTGGCAAAATCACTTATAATTAAATATTACACTCGGAGCCCTTTTTTTTAAAGTTACATTTGTGAATTTTTGTTAGAGTAAAAGAGTGGTCGGATTCTCCAGGTTTTGGGCCTTTTGCTCTTTGCTTTTTGCACTTTGCAACAAATGCTACTTGGAGTATTCTCGATGCAACAAGATTATTCTTCGTGAGGGTGCTATCATTCAATCGATTAAACAATCAATCACTTTATTTGAGAGTAAATGATGGTATCTAGCCAAAGGTAAAACCCTGTACTAACTGGGAACACTTAAATAAAGTAAATAAAATAACGGAAAACACGATGATTTGCGGTCGCGACAGGACTTGATGACATCGCGGAAATTTGCGACTGGCGGGAATTTCTCGACCACTAATTTGTCTACTTTTATATTGTTTTTTTTTT